TTTTTTTTTTTTTTTTTTTTTGGTACCGGGTATTGAACTTGGGTCCTTGTGCTTGCAAGGCAGGCCACCGAACTGCTGAGCTAAATCCCCAGCCGTAGTTCTGCATTTTTACTTGAGTAATACTCAAGATTTTTATTTATGTGAGCAAAATGCAATGTAGTAAGTCCCCAACTTACAAACATTTGAGTTGCAAATTTTTACAGATACTAACGGACCCTACATTATGAACATTTGTAGATGTGAACAAATCGAGGAAGTAGCTCACGTGTCTGCCCGACATAGTCACAGTTGTGTTGCTGTGAGCCTACTTCATGGTGTGATAGTGTACAGCAGTACAGAGCTTAGAGCCCAGGATGTCTGGAAGCAAGAGGGGGCTGCTGGGAAGCACAAAGCAATACCATGGGAACATGTGAAAATAAGAGATTGGATGGAGGCGAAAAGATGGTAGGCATCACTTGTTCTTTTTGTTTTTTGGGTTTTTTTTTAAAATTTACATTGTATATTTGTGTCAAAGGTATATAAGACTCACTTTGTGGGACTTATAAACAAATCTGACTTAAGTGAACTTTTTTCTGGAATGGAGTTTAAGTTGGGGACTTACTGTACTATAAACTTCTACTGGTGAGACTTCTCAACTCAGTCTGTGTTCTCAGTGAAATCCAGCACCTTCCAGCTCTTTTTCTTTTTATCTTGTGGCTTTAAACAGTTTCCAAAGTCTTTATCTCTACCATATTCACTGTTTGAGCTTCAGACTCCTTAACACCCACAGAAATGGAAAGACTAGATTTCGTAGATGTTTCAGCTTCAGCTTCTGGGTGTACTTAGTCGGACCTCAGCTTTGCTGAACAGTTTTCCAGGCAGAGATCTTGCTCTTCCAGGTGGGATATAAATGCAGAGGTCTCCTTTCTCCTTTCCTGCAACATCACAGGATAGTTGACTGGCATGGAGCTGTCTGGCGACATGAGGGGAGGAAGAAAGTCTGGCTCATCTGTAGCGGGAAGGTCCTTAGCACAAGGCTGCAAAAAAGTGAGGGCAGCACCTTCTTAAGGACAGAGTTGAGGACTTTGGTTGGTTGGTTAGTTGGGTTTTTTAAGTGATGTGCACATAGTTAAAAGTCCTGAGCCAGGCGTGGTGGCACATGCCTTAGTCCAAGCATTGGAGAGGTGGGGGCAGGAGGACTGCCATGAGTTCAATGCCAGCCTGGGCTACATAGCAAGACCCCGTCTCAAAAAGAAAAAAAAAAAAAATCCAAACACTACAAAAGGCTGGACCGTGCAAAGCAAGGCTTCTTACCACCCAGTTCCCAAATTCTCCCTGAGTGTATCCATCCTAGTGCACACGTACATGTATGTACACACACACACTCTGCTCTTTTCCACTGAGTGGATTTTAGAACCTGTTTCAGAATAGCCCACAAGGGTCTCCTTTATTCTTGTGAACAACCACAGATGTAGTGTCATTTAACATTCCCTACTGTAAGCATTTGAGTTTTCTAAAATTTAGAAAAAGTACTGAGTGTATTTGCTCATTAACTTAGATTTATATTTACAAAGAGTAAATTCCAGGAAGGAAAATGGCTGTCAGTGCATTAACAGTTTTAAGCTACAGTCCCACACTGCCTTCGAGGGAAAACTTCCGATACCAATTCCAACATGGTCCCATCCACAACTTGCCAGTATGTATATGTAACTCTTCACTAATGAGTAAATTGATGGATTGAGTCCATTTGTTTAATCAGTGAGATTTAATGTCTTCATTGGCCAGTTATGTTTCTCTTCTGATACAGGACACTATGTAGCTGAATCTTGGGTTAGGGAACTTTTTGTAAATAAGATTAAAAAAAATAAGGTGCAAAGTCCTCAGGAAAATGTCTGCCTTACAGGATTTAAGAGCCCCTAAATGTCCCAGGGATTTCGGGTTAAAAACACCCACTTTTGTTTATCATTAGTTCAGGACAAGGAAGGGTATGACATTTTTGTTTACTAAAAGAAATTAAAGATTAATATGGGCTTAGAAACCTTTTCTGCTTCCTTAATCTGTTTTAGCAACACTTTTTTGCCTTGTTAGGTCTACTTCTCTCTCCCCTTTTTGAGAATTTCAAACCCACGGTTGAAGTAGTATTGCCCAACAGACCACAGCTCTAAGGATCAGTGTCAAGCCTGATAGCTTCAAACTTCTTCCATTTACACAGCTCAGCTCAGTCTGAACAGTCTGCTTCCCCTGGCTGCTTGTTTTTGCTGGAAGGGCCTTCTGCAGCCAGGTTGTGAGGGACCTACTGACAAAGTCTCCAAGGTTCTTGAAATGTTCTGAGAATTTCACTGCAGGCCTCGGGCCTTTGTGGTGATGGGACCTCTGAGGCTTCCTATGAGTAGTAGCCACACAGATTTTGGTTCTTGTAGTAGTTGCACAGCCAGCTTGGCCACAGGAGGTAGAACTCCAAAGAATGTGCCTTCAGACTGTTAGTTCGGGCTCTGCTGGAGGCACCCTCTCCACAGTGAGCAGGACAGACTTCACAGGGGAAGGACCTGGCAGAGCACATCCCAGGGTGCTGCCAGACCTGCTTTTCAGTCTAGCTGTTAACATTCAGTAACTTGCTACCCATGAAACAGGACCAACCAGGACTAATGGGGGACCCAGCAGAAACTTCCTGTCGGCAGTGCCTCAGTCTGTCACCCCATTCTGGCTCCCAGTTCCTCTAAAATGAAAGGGTTGGATGATGACAGACGTTTTCCAGTTTAGCTCCAGGGCAGGTCTTCACCTGAAATTTATCCAGCCTTAATAGAAGGTTGGTGTTACTGGAGCTTCTGCGGTGGAAAGTTATGATGGGGCCCAGCACCTCTTACTATCTTGCCCTCCAATCCTTACTTGAAAGATTCCGTGTTCTCCACTTGGAGGCCTACAGGTGCTTACTCGGTGACTCACATAGGGGCAATATGTTTTCCCCAGGGCCACCATCGTGGCCTTCTAAACATTTAGCCAGTTCCAGTATCCCCCAAGGATGAGGGCTGGACTTCCAAGCAGCTTCCATCTGGCCCACGACGCAGATGTTTATGGTATTTCTTGGGGTTCTGGCATTCCTAGTGGATGCCAGCCAAGGTCAGTGGAGAAGTTCATACCAGTGAGTGGGTAAGGATCCAGCAGACGCATCCAGCCTCTTCTGTGCCCTCTAGATTGCTGAGATACTTCCAAGAGTCCCCAGTGCTGCAGATTTCTCCCCAAACTGACCAACTCTCGTCTACTACTGTGACTCACCGCCCTTCCGTCCTCTTAAAAGTTCTGGGCTTTTGATGTCCTCCCGAATGCCTGGCGAGTCAAACCAGTCTATCACTAGGCTGGGTTTTGGTGGTCAGAGGAGACACCCCCCCACCCCCCGACTGTCGGAAAGAAGTTTTTGAGTTCTTCATGCTTAATCATAAGCTACTGCAGTACAGCATACGCCGGAGAGCTGACTGTACATTCTTACCTGACGCAGATGACAAGGCTAGCACGACAGTACTCTCCGGAACCTCTGAGCAGCTGATGCTCAGCTCTATCCCCGCAACGGCCTTCTCCCGGCTGGCCAACGGTGGTTTTGCAGATAACGTCCACTCAGCTCAGAGCCTTAAGCCGGAAGCCCAAGTGCGCATGGGCAATTGGTTCTAAGCCGCTCAGAGAGGGCGTGCCCTGCGCGTGCCCTGCGCGTGCGCGGTGGAAACTTGGCGCTCCTGCGCACGTGTGGGCACTTAGCGGCTCCCACCTCTCAACAGAGCAGGCCGCTCAAGCCAAACATAGGTAAGGAGGAAAGTTTTCTCCCTGAGGGCTGCATATTCAAGTCCAGGGTGCACATGAAACCTTTTCCTCAGTTGTTTTCCGACTTTTTGACAGATTACCATAGACACCCGCCCGACCCTTGGTACATTTTCTGGCTGGGCGACCTTATTTTTGCAAGACCTGAAAAGAGGCTGCTTGTTTTTTCTTTTGCCTTAAGGTGCCAGCCTTTCGGCCTCTCCCAGGGCCTGGCCTGAGAGTTCGGGATTTCACAACGTTTATTTTCGACAGGTTTGCAATGTTCGTTGAAAGGTAAGCACTTTTAGGTTTTTGTGTTTTCTGTCATGCTAGGGAAAATCCATCCCTTTTCCACCAACACTGCTTGCAGCGTTGACAAATTTTTCTGTCAACCTTCAGTCCTAGTGGAATATCTTTCAGTCTAAGCCGCAAGGCAGGAATCAAACTTTGTAGTCTCTCCATCCCCCAGGTGGAAATTACTCATGCTAGCCTCATTTATTATAAGAACCACTCGGGCTATTATATTTCCTTGTGTTTCGAATTGTTGGTTGGAGACGCCACAGGCGAGTGTGATGTTGAAAGTTGAGGCTGTAGCTGAAACTAACCTGGGCAATCATTTTCTAGAGGGATCACTTTCAGAAACCTTTCGGGCTGTTCTTAGTAACCTCTCATGTAATTTTAAATTGCTTGATGCAGTTCTCTTCTGTAGCAGTCTTTTAAAAAAAGTTTAATTGGAATTTAAATTATAATTGCTTTAAATGTTTTGAGAGTGTTGACATTTTTATGACACAAGGTCTCCCCCGAGGATATGAAATTATTTTCCATTTGTTTAAGAATTCGTTTAGATCCTCTAGTAAGATTTTATAATTTCTTCATATGGGTTTTATAACTTTCTGGGCCAATAAGATATATTTTCATTCATCTTTTTTATAACTTTCTGGTTATAAAATTCCTGTTTTTGTGGGTTTTGTCTCTATTGTGATGGGATACTTTTTTCTAGCGCTCACTGATTATTATTATGGAGAAAAGCTGTTACAGACTCTGGTACTTCTAAAAATAAACCTTTTTTATAGAGACAATTTACAAATTTGCTAGTATATCAGTTTAATTGCCATTTAGTTTTACTTAGAAACTCTGAAATAATGTTGAATCATTTGGGTCTTGTTTCTGGTGTGGATGAGATCTACAGGTGAAGGTTGAACAGGACGATGTGACCTACACTGAGGGCTGAACAGGACGTTGGTTTTGGTAAATGGCCTTTGAAATCAGTTTCCTTACCTCTATCTTGGGAACTCTGGAACTCACGCATAGCTACTGTCCTACCTGACTGCGGCACCAGGGGGCAGCACTACACAAAATGAAATGTTCCCTGGAGACTGGACGAATTTGAATTTTTGTCAAGTGCCTTTTCACCATCTATTTAAAAAGCAATATGTAATTGAACATTTTTCCACGTATTTATCATCCATTTGTACTTATTTTGAGGCGTGTGTGTTCTGTTCATTTGTTGGATTTTTATGGTTTCTTTTTTAGTTCTTTATATATTCTGAGAATTAATCCTCAGTCAAAAGCACAGCTGGCAAAGATTTTCCTCCATTCTGTAGGCTCTTTCTTGGCTGTGTTGTTTCCTTAGTTATAAGAAGGTTTTAACGTGCATGCCTGAATCTGCCAAAATGGAGCCCGTTAATCTATATAACTAATATGCACTAATAACAAAAGAATGAGGTACAATAAATCTAGTCTGTCTAAAAAATCAATTTTAAAAACCTAGAATTTTCTTCTATAAGCTGTTTTGTTTTTATTAGACAGTGAGTAGCTTTAAGCATTTGCTGTATAGAATATTATAAATTAGGAAGATGTGGTGGGTTTTTATTCTGGTGGGTTCTCTCAGCTCAGAGAGAATTGTAAGGCAATGTCAAGAGAGGACTGAGCAAAAGTATTGTAGAGCAAGATCGGAAAGCAGCATTTATTGCAAAGCAAAATTAAACAGCTCCTAGACAAAAGAACCTAGGAGGGGCCTGAAAAAAGTTGTCCAAGGGGCTCTTGTTTAGGGTTTTTGTTTGTTTTTCTGGTACCAGAAGTCGAACTTGGGTCCTTGTGCTTGCAAGGCAGGTGGAACCACTGAGCTAAATCCCCAACCCGTTTAGGGGTTTTTGTAACCCAAAATGTGTACATCTCAGCCAAGTTGAGCTCAACCTTCGGGGTTACCGTCAGGAGAGTGGTGTAGAAGTGAGCCTATAGGAATTTGGGGTAGGTAGCAGGTGTACCTTTGCAAGCACCGTTAATTGTAAGTTTAAATACAGCGAAGGTATTTGTGAGAGAAGTATGAATATCTTATTTGGGGGCATAAAAATCTTGCCAATCCAACGAGGCCTTTGTTTACCAAGTCTTGAGGCGCCTGGCCTTGGTTTTCCATGTGTCCGTTGTAGAATCTTCCTGACTCCCTCTTTGGCTTGGCCTTCTGGCTGCCAGTATCTCCCTTTGTCAGGACTCTGCTCCACAGTTTTCACACATCGTACAAATTGCCGGGCTCCTACACCTTGTTTTTTAAAAATTGAGTCATTTATGGCCTTCAACTATCTTCTGGAAGTTGTAATCTTGTTATGAAATACAACTGTTAGTTATGATTTCCTTGTCTCTTTTTTTACCTTGTGATTTTTTCTATCCTCCTTCACAAGGAACACCCATCTCCTGGTATATTATTGAACTTTATAAATCCCTACTGGCCTCTCCTAAATCCCTTTCCTCCTTGCTCAAAGGCAACCCACACCCTTAATAATTGTTTTGCTCTGCCTGCTTTGAACTTAGACACAGCATTTTATTATTTTGCAATTTGCTCTCTATTTCCACCGTCACATCCCCAAAATTCATTGTGTTGTTGAGTGAGGGTGTAATTCATCTTTTACCACAGTATGAAAAAAAAAAAAAAGAATTACACTGACAGTTGAACATGCTACTTTGTTTTTTTATTTTTATTTTTATTTATTTATTTTTTTGGTACTGGGGATTGAACTCAGGTCCTTGCGCTTGCAAGGCAGGCCACCGAACCACTGAGCTAAATCCCCGGCCCCTACTTTGTTTTTTTAAATCCATGCTTCTGTGACTGGCATTTGGGTTGAGTATTGGTATTTGTGTGTTTTTTTCTTGATAACTGTGAACGCTCTTGTTTGTCTCCTGCCGCCAGTAGGTTTGCAGAGTCACAGGTCATGTTCGTTGTGATGCCAAATTTTGTCAGAAGTGGTTGTATCAAATTTCACAACCACTGGCATTGTAAATGTTTGTGTATTTCATTTCTCCGCTTTTCTCCCAAGAGTATTACTAGATCTGAAATTTTTTACTAGTGTGTTGGGGATAGAATAGCATCTCATTGTGGCTTAATTTGCATTTTCCTGATTTCTGTTGTGGTTAAAGCACCTTATTATGTTCATTGAACATTTAGGAACATGTTGTTGTTGTTTTGGTGAAGTGCTGAAGACTTTTGCCTCATTTTTCTGTTTTTCTTGATTGGTATTGTGTATTATGGGTACAACTCCTTGATAATGTCTGTATTGTAGATTTCTTCTCCCCCTTTGGCATGTCTTTTTTCTTTTGGTATCAGGCATCAAACTCAGGACCTAGCGCCTGCGAGGCAGGTGCCGTGCCACTGAGCTAAATCCTGGCCCTGCATATCTTTTGTCACTCCCATTTTACCAAGCCTTTTGATGAACAGAAATTCTCGATCTTACTATAGATTAATTTGTCATTTTTCTGCATAGTTTTCATTTCTTGTTTTAAAGCATTTTCCTTACCCTGAGGTCATTATTATTACGTTGTTTAAAATACTACGTTGTATTCTAAAGTGTTTGTAGTTTTATCTCACATGTACAGATCTTCGGTTCACCTGGAATTGACTTTTGTATGTGGTGTGAGATAGGGCCTCCCTCCCTCTCACCTCCTCCTCCTCCCTCTATTTTACTTACCTTTCTCCCTCCACCCCTCCCTCTCTTCATCTTCCTTCCTCCTCCTCTCCCTCTCCCTCTTCTTGGTTGCTCCCATGTTCCTTATTTTGAAATCTTTTCTTGATAGGTCTACGGTGCTACCTCTTATGTATCAGATGTTCTATGTGTGTGTGTGTGTGTGTGTGTGTATATGTTTCTGGACTTAGTTTTGTCAATTGTTTTTTATTGCAATACTGATTTACATATTTATAGTTTTATATTTAATAGAGCCAGTTTTCCCATTTTTTCTAAACTTCAGCACTGTTATAACTAGTCACAATCTTTTGTATTTCCATATAAATTTGAGAAACATTAAGGTCTATGAGAAAACCTGTAAAGATTTCATTGGAATTATTTGCCATGAATTTAAGAAGAAATAATATATGTATAAATGTTCCAACCTATGTAGATGGTGTAAGTCTCCATTAACTGACATCTTTAGTGTCTGTCATAAATACAATTTTCCTTTCAGATATCTTGTGTCTTTTGTTTGATGTATCTTATTATCCTATCGATAGGTTCCTTTGGATTTTCTTTGTGATATCAACTGAGTAGTGATAATTCTGCCAATTCTTCTATTTCATATAAATATTTTTCTTGCTGACTGTCATTGGCTCTACCAGTACGATATTGCGTACACAGGGTGAAAGTGGGCATCTTTTTTTTTTTTGCTCTTTGTTTCATAAGCAAAGAGAAATGTGTATGTGTAGATATTAATTACATTGTGAAAATTTCCTGTCATGCCTATTGCTGATTTTTTCAATAACATGGATGTATGCTCAGTTTTAAAGTGTTTC